AGGCTAAAATTATTTCCTGATTTTCAACAAAGAATAAAGCCTTTTCTTCCACAAAACAAAAGCATAATCACTTTTGAAACAAAGGAACAAAAATCAGAAACAAAGTCATTGAATGAATAGTGCTGTTTTGGCATTTTATTCACAAAAGTCTAAAGCTTGGTTCCCCTTTGTTTTCCTCCTTATATGCACGAAATTTCTATCCAAATAAACCCAAAGAAGATCAGCTCAAAATCAGGAGAAGCATCATGGAAAATCAACTCACATGGATGGGCATTAAGCATTGATTTGTAGGAAAGAAGTAGGAAACTTCCTTGTGTTATTCTTCCTTCATTGTTCTTGTATTTCCCCTTATTTGTTGTTGTATAAATACTTCTGCCATATGGTCATTGTAAGCAGAACTAGATTATTGAATTAAAAAACCTTGTTTATTCTTTTGAGTAATGAATTAAGCTAGGGGTACCCCATGTTAGTGTACCCCTAGCATTGCCCTTGAGTACTTCCTTTAAAATAGTGTGATGCTATTTTAACCAAATTTCCTAATGAAATATCTCTAAAGTTGGCTACTTTTGAGTGTGTGTTAGGAGTCTAATTTTATACATTAGTAGTGATTCTTAATGTGTAAAAGAAGATAAAAACTTCAAGTTAAGATAAGGGTGTGTCATATCTCTTAACACCAACTTGGTTTATCCCTTCACTTTATTTCTGCCCATTTCATTCCTCTCCATTTTCTCTTCCTAAACCCCATTCTATTCTATCTTCATAAATCAAAATACCAATAAGAACTCTTTCCCATACTCCATATTTTACCCTTCAATTCCATCATCCATTTTTCTCCGCAAATCCTTCTCCAAAATAGCTACTCGTTAAGACCCCGGGTCTCGGGTACAACATCTGGTATCAGAGCCTGGTTTCGACAACTTTCTCAAGTCTCGACGATTACCGGAGGACCAGCTTCACCCACGTTGCACAAAAACAAGACTGCTGAATTTCTCCTGAAAATTTCAGCTCCAAAGCAGTGATCACGGAGGAACGTGCAAAACTAATTTCGACGTGAAACTTTTCAGTCTGAAAGTTCAAGCTTTTATCTACGTCTAGCCGCTGATTTCACTCAATTCGGAGTTGTGGTTAGCGAGATACGCCCTTCCAAAGTTGACAATGCAGTCTTGTCCAAATGCTGTCTAGCTTGCTTCTTTTGTCTCCAACGAGGTAGCACACATACTTCAATGGCTCTGAAATTTTGATATGTCTTTATGGACTTCAATATCTAACTTATAGAGTTGGAATCACGACATTCCAATCTCTGGTCGTTGAGATATGGATATCCAAAGATACTTCAAAAATCTTGAGATTATTTATGCAAATGAGGCAATCCTTCAAGGACCTATTAAACGGTGCTACATGTGCTGTGGCTATGGCCATCACTATTGGAGGTGCACAAATAAAGAAGCCATTCCTTATGAAGAGCATGTAAGGATCATAGCAGCATATGAGAATCAACAGGATGGCAATTACGAAGATGTCTTTGATAACCATGTCAAAGATGAAGATGATGTCTTCGTAGAAGAACCAGCTTCTAATGCTCAGAAAGAATCACACTATAATGATTCTTTCCTTATTCATGATGACTTCGTTGATGAGGTAGTTATAGAGAAAGCCACACTGGAAGTTATATATTCTACGGAAGTGATTTCCATAGAGTACTATCCTCTTTTCAATGAAGGAAAATCTTATCTCCTCTCTGAGGTATGTTTGAAGCAGGTTTTTACAGGGAATGGCATCATGTTCCGGAAATTACACGATGAGGTGCCCACTAATTCCGGGAGGAACTTCATTATTGGTGGTTTCTTAAATTTCCCATTTGATCCGGGAATTCTCTTATGAAACCCCAATCAGTCACGGTGGTGCGAAAGTTTGAGGACAAACTTTCTTCGAAGAAGGGGAGTATGATGTACCCCTGGATGGCTCCACCAAAACCCCAAACTCCCCCACACATCCAAAAGTCTTCTTTCTGTTCTTTAATTCAAAATAAAGTCTTTCCCATCAATTTTTAACTCCGGGTCAAAAATGAAATCAAAGGAAGACAAGTCAAACCTTAGTTTCTTATTATCTTTTAAAACCTTTGTTTCTTTTCAAATCCTTTTTTACCCAAATAATGCTTTCCCTTCTTTTCTTCTAATCCTGATTCTGAACCCCTAAATAATCGATTATCCTTAATTGATAATCGACTATTGAAGTCCGCAGATTCTTCTTCAAAGTCCTTAACTTCTCATAATCGATTGTCAATAACTTGATAATCGATTATCCTCACCCTCAGAAAATATCCAGTTCCGAGTAAGTCCTTGTAAATCGATTGTCTTGTAGTGTCAATCGATTATCGGGTTCCTCAGAACATTCCCA